GTGGTAACCAAGAAATATTCCCTCAACACCAGTCGGCGCAAACTTAGAGCTCGCAGGAATGTTCTGTTTGGGGTTGTTCCAGTACAACACACGTGCACCAAAAGGAATCATGATCCCTGAAAACGGTTCCCCATACCTGGCCTCCCAGGGAACAATCCCGTTGTCAAGCCTCTTAGTTGCATTAAGTGCCATCGCGTGGTGTTGGGCGGCCAACGGCCAAAGCTTGTCGGGGAGACCCGCCTGAACAAGGTTGGAGCGGGTACCCTCCAAAATCGTCCGAATTTCTCTTTCGATTACCGACTTGTTGGTGTCCACATATTCGCGGGATGTAACATGTCGGACACCTAGGCTTTTGATAGCGGCATGAAGTTCAGGTGCGTTGTCTGAGTAGAAAACGCCAACTGCATCTTCTTGACCTAGGAAGTGAAGAAGGTCTTCAAAACACTGATCGCTTGACTTAGTCGGAGAGGGGTAGACGTAACGAAATTTGGTGAACACGTCCTTAACAATAAGTGCGACCCTTTCGTCCTGGAACCCATGGTCACGAAGGTCACGAGTGATGATATGGTCAACAGTGATGTGATCCCCAAAGGCCTTTGACACAATGGTACTTGAGCCCCCCTTTTTGCGGGCTTGGGGAGCCAACATCTTTGCGCGCTGACATACCTCGCAGAACGGATTCTTGGGCCTGTGCGAGAACAAGTGCTCAACAGATTTGGCTTCAGCTTTCAGATCGGCCTCTGCAAGACTGCGGGCGTTTCCTTCGTTGTCACTGTCAGGTTCAACATCGGGGTCTTCGAAGATAGTGAGGCTCAGGATTGGATTACCCTCCAGTCGGGCAACTTTGTTGTCAAGCTCCCTGACGTTCACTTTATCCTCAACCTTGACCCAAGAACCTTCCCTGAACAACCAAGTAGATCTGACTTCGCATCTTGGAAACCTTGGTGTAGCAGTACGAAACGTCTTTGGTTTGTGTCCGACAATCAAGTACTTAGCATTTGGGTGCGAAACCCAACCTGGTCTTTTGAGCTTCTCTTTGGGGATATCTATCGGCGGCACCTCATTGATGGCTGCGGAGATCTCAGGATCGGGGTGCTCGACCACTGGATCTCGTTCCTCTGCTGCTCCTGCGAAAGCCTCGGCCGGCCCTATTGGGCGGCAGTTTTCTGAAAACCCTCGGACAAAATTGGTCGTCCGAGAGAACCTGAGGCTTCCTCCTTAGTGCTTGGAGCGGCCATTGCTCCTCCCCCTAGCACTGGGACCATACCTCTCATTCTACACCTTAGTCTTTGACCATTGGGCGCAACAAAGTAAGGCGGCCTTTTGGGGTACCAGTGGAACTCATAACCGTCCTCCATGCACCTTCTGCCTACGGAGCAAACAGGAGGGGTGCTGTTGAGAACATAGAACTCTAGCTCTTTGCCAAACTCCGGGAAGTCGATCCTAACCGACTTGTCACCTTTGACGTTACCATTAGCAGTGATGAGATTCACTTGTCGTGTTGCATTGCCTACTGGCTCTTCGCCGAAGTACATAGCACGATCAGCATCGCTGATAAGGTCCTCCTCGCTTCCTGTGTCAGCAAGGAATTCTAAGGGTGTGGCGATCCCTGGACAAGCGATCTCTGAGCTCTCAACGACGTGCTTGCACATCCCACACATGAGAGAATCAGGCTCATCACACTCTAAGTGGCAATCGGTCTTCTCTCCCCCCTCATGCCGGGCAAGAAGCATCTTGAGTTCCCTTGCGTTCCTAATTGCAACCTGAAGGTCGTTAGCGTCAGGCTTAGGGCAGTTTTCTGCATCAGCATAGCAAGTATTGTACCTGCGAACTTTGTAGGAATGTTTGTACCCCTTTCCCTCAAAAGGGATTTCCCTGACTTTGGGTTTGTCGCAAAACCTGACCTTCTTGTCTTGTTCTTTGATCTTGAAAACAGTCTTGCCGGTCCACGGCATCTTATCGCCGGTTCCCCCTCTTCCCCCTTTCCAGTCCCAGTTCTCCTTAGCAGTGTATGGAGAAATGGGAAGCGTCTTGATCACTTTGGCCTTACCCTTCAACCTTTCAAGAGCAACAGGACATGACACTTCGGGCTTGTACATAGTACTTCTGTACTTCAGATGGTGCCTAACAGCTTCACCCCTTTTGAAGTCTACTTCCCAGTAGTCTTCGTCCCCATCTTGTGGTTCACTCTCATCAGGACCAGCTGAGGCTGCAGCCGCAAGCGAGATGCAGCATGCGGCCTTCCTATCCTTTTCCTTAGAGCGTCCACGGCTTGGTTTCCTGCGCGTTGGCGCGGGTGACGGGGACCTTGGTTTGTCTGGGCCCTTAGGGGCCGGGGCTGCGTTTTCACCACCTGGGGGAGCAGGGCTCGGTTCCCTATGCAAGAAACGACACTTATCTCCCCTAGTGCACTTTCCCTTCTTCCAAAACGTGCAGACCTGTTTCTTCTTCGGGGCAGTGCGAACAGGGGATTGCGAACGGGGTTTGTGCGAAAACTTGCACTTGTCACCCCTGGTGCACTTACCCTTTTGAAAGTCGTAGCAAACTGGCTTTGGGCTTTGCGATCGGCTAGGTGATCTAGATCTGGATGGGGTCCTAGAGCGAGACCTTGACTTTGAATTGGACTGGCTACCGGCAGAGCGATCCCTTCCGCGGCCGCTCCTCGACGGAGGGCGTGTCGGCCTTCCGCCTTCAACAACAGGAGCACCAAACTTGTCCCCATGAGACTTGGCGATTCTATCCCTGTTCTTGCGCATCCTTTCACGGGTCAACAAATCCCGGATTGACTTCAACAAGAACGCATAGGAGTGTGAGGCAGAACCCTCTTTCGCCCTGTCGTAGATTTCCAAATCATACTTCATTCTTGAGGACTTTCGGATTTGCCGAAGAAGGATATCACGCAGAACCATTTCTTCTGGGACATGACTCATGCCAGCAATGACTGATTCCCAATTGTGCAGAAATGTGGTTAGATCGTCACTATGCAGTGTAACCTTCAAAAGGTCTTCTACCGAATAGAGCGATCCTACCTCTTCATTTGTTTTGAAGTACTGATCAAACATGAGCAAGACCTGGCGTCCTCGTACGGCACGTCCTTGAACCGCCTCGGTTTCCTTGAAAGTGAGTACCTGTCGAGATAACTCACCTTTGGCGACCTTAGTGAGAGCGGCTAGGATTTTGGTATCCAGCGTGAGAAACTTACCGGGCTCACGAAGCTTGTCATGATCAGCATTCTTAGAATACACCTCTAGAATCCAAGAGAAGGCTTCATCTGGTCTATCTGAAGCTGCCCTAACTGCTTCCCGTGTTGCGGTTTTCCATGCACGGTAGGTTTCGGGGTTAGGGAAATCCGGCAGGCGGATGGTTTCAGCTTCTTTAACCTTTGGTTTGTCATCTTCACCGCTTTTGTCTCCTTTAAGAAGCTTGGCGGCTTCAAGCAGCGCTTGCTGCGTCTGTGCGATTAAATCGGCTCCTGTGGCTGCCGGACCTCCCGGCGTGCCGTTGGGGCCGCAAGACCAGGGGCTCCGGCGTTCAAACCACCACTAGAGAATCCTAGATTTGGGACGTTAGCTGATGCTGTTGGGGTCCCTGGGGCAGAAACCGGACCCTGTGGTCCTGTTGGAGTGGCAGTAGTTGCCACACCGCCAAAACTGAAGTTTGGAAACAATGCCCTGATGTTCATCGGAATCACACTCGGATCTGAAAACTGAGGGGCACACGGAGCACTAAGCCCGGCGCTTGGCGCTGGAGCAACTGGGGCAGTGGCGCTGGGAAACTGAGCTTGCTGCGAGGGATTGATACCTAAATTCCTGTCCTGTTCGAGCTGGAGCGCACGCTCCATTGATGATAATTCATCTTGGAGGGTCATGTTTTGAATCCTCATTTGCTCTTCAGTTTCCAGGGCTATACTGCGGTACCTTTTCATTGCCTCATCATGCTCTCTCCCAAACCATTCCCCAATCTCGTTAATGCTTTCCCTCTTGTTTTGTTCAGCCTCTTCAACCAGAGTTGTCCTGAGACGTGTGATTTGCGAACCAACATCGGAAAAATGTTCTGACTGAAAATTGATTATCTGGTTTTGTTGCTGGAGTTCTGAAAAGAGACCTTGGGTCCTCGCGACAAAGCTATACCTTTGGCTAGCAATTTCAGACTCAAGTCTAGCAACGACTTCCTCGTGCTGCCTGTTAGCCCTTTCTTCAACATCTGCGATTTGTTGATCATGGGCTTCTTCAGCAGCTAGGCGGAACCTCTGGTGCCTGGACTCTGCTTCGTTCTCTAACTCAGTGAGGAGAAGTCTTGTTTGTTCAGGTGTTTCACCTATCGTGATGTTCTGCTGAAACTGTTGTCGGTACATGTGGATCTGCGGAGCTCCTAGTCCTACGAAAGGAGAAGGTGCGTTTGGCGCAAACACATTAGCTGCTGCTGCATTCTCTTCCAGCACTAGGCCACGGCCATCCGTAGACGGTGGCATAGCCAAAGTGCCTGAGAGGTCCATCTCCGCGGATTCTGCGTCTGTAAATCCGTCTGTACCGAGATCAGTTGCTACCTCGGTGGGGACCAGCTCGGGGCTGTCACCCATGCACTGAGTCGAAACTCCAGGTCAGTGGTGCCGCAAGCTCCGGGGAGCCTACGGCTGATAACCTATAGTTTGGGAAATCCACCAGTCGTTATCCGTTAAGCCATGAGCAGGGGCGCGCCTAACCTTTTTACTCAGAGGGCTTGAGCGACACAAGTAAGTGCAACATACATGGAGGCAAAAGTGGAGGGAATGCACAGATATAAAATACAGAAACCTAAGGCCAAACGGAGGGCAGAAGGAGTACCACCGCGTCCTATATAGGGGCCTGAATAATTAGAAGAGGGTTTTGGGGGGTTATTATCGTATAACTACCAAGGGACCATAAGGGAATTCTATTCCTAAACCCTAAACCCTAAACCCTAAACCCTTTAGTAGATGGGAATCTCATGCCATCATCCGTCCCTCAATGCTTGTGAGGAGCCTCTGCTCGAGGTCTTGCCGCAGCACTGCTGGAAGCAGATGACTCCTCCAAGAGAGTTTAGGGTTTAGGGTTTAGGGTTTAGGGCTTAGGGCTTAGGGCTTCGGGTTTAGAACTGCTTGGTGCAGCTTTTGGGCTTCGAGTCTCTCATACTGCCATCGTTTAGGCATTCGGCTTCAGGGTTGAGAAGGTTGAGCTTTGGCGAAGCTGCAGACATCTTTCTCAAGACGGGTTAAGTCACAGAAGCCCAAGACATGGGTTTGACGTCGGAGCAGTCAAGAGTCACACCTTAAACCCTGCGCACTCAACCCGAACTCCGAACCCCACACCTCAACCCTAAGCCTCACAGCCTAAACCCCAAACCCCTAAACCAAGACCACTCCCTCAAACCCTTTCTGCTCAATAAGGTAGAATTGTAGCTGGTTAGTGGGAAACCAAAAGCTTTATGATGATCACAACTAGGTCTTGTGGAGACCGGTACCATACAAGCCTGCTTGAAGGTTCAGCGCTACTTAGCAGTGGGGGTGTAAGGTTTAGGGTAAGAGTCTAGGATGCGTCTATATGAAGGGTAAACGGTAACCATATTTCTAACCGGTTGTGACGCGTATTTAAGGCTCTGACAACCTACATGAGACTCCAAGTCACAAGTAGCCCTAAACCCTAAACCCTAAACCACAAACCCTCAACCCTAAACCCTAAACCCCTCCTGCTTGTCCTTTGCCTCCTTTGTACGGCTCGGGCTTCCCTCAGCCTTGGAATCGATGCGGCACGGTGGAGTGCAGCAAAAAAGGTTTAGGGTTTAGGGTGTTAGGCCGTTAGGGCGTTAGGGTGTTAGGGTTTAGGGTGTTCAGTTTAGGGTTTAGGGTTTAGGGTTTAGGGTTTAGGGTTTAGGGTTTAGGGTTTAGGGTTTAGAGTTTAGAGTTAGGGTTTAGGGTTTAGGGTT